GGTTATTATTTGATTCGGATCGGCATCTTTTTTCGTATCTGCTACATGTGTATCCAGACTGGTTAGACCCACAAGGTCGAGACCATATTCATTGAATGTATATGCTCCATTTGGGGAATTTGTGAAATATGTATTGTGATATCGATTAACTCTGCACGTGCACATGTACATCTAAGCTTATGCTCAGGGTGATTTGTTATATTATTGTCTTCAATGACTAAACCACTAGAATTATGACTCTGTGATTGTGTGACTGGGTTGAGCACCCCAAATAACGAACTGTATAAATTGCGAGATCATGTATTTGGATTGGTAGAAAATTAACTAAACTATGTGACTATGTTAAGCTTGACTCGTAAACCTATGTTTTTGTGACTAATTTGAAACCTCTGCGTGACAAATCCTATATTATGTGTAACCGAAGAACTTTGTTTAATGTGTTACTGTGTACCATGTGCTTGCATATAAGACCTATTTGAGAATTTCTATACTGATTATGATATATACCTCCTAATATTAACGCCTGCATTTGCAACTACACCTGAACTTATGTGAACAATGCCATATTGTACATGATTTGAAATACCTTGACATGAACAGTTGTGATAAATGACTCCAATATGATTTTGAGAACTAATGAACTTAGAACAGTTGTGAAACTATCGACTATGTACCTAAGCAACGAAGTGTGCCTTACAGAACCAACAATACCCCATTGAGAAAACTTTTATCTGATTCAATCTGATAGAACTTTTGTTTGATTGGGCCTATTAGAACCTTCATTTGATATAATTTGATGGGACCTTTGCTCGATTTGATTTGGCAAGACCTTTGACGGGATTAATTTGATGAGACCCTCTATCTGATTTGACCTTGTTAAGGGGAAGTACGGATTACATATGAATAAATAGCCAGATTATTCTTGGCAGGAAAATTGATAGACCCAAAACTTGAATCCGTTTGGAGTACTCGACTTACTTGAAAGACCTTTTGTGGGCTATCAACAGATTGATCTAACCATGAACACCGTTGAGAACTAACCTTCAACTATTGAGGACAAATGTGCTAGAAATGAACTGAATTGTGCAAATCCAGTGATCGGGTGTCTTAAGGAACAATGCTAGTGTATTGTCATACTCTTGCTTATTTGACGCTATGGAAGCCGATGATAGCAGATTGATTTGACTGTAAACAGTAATGAATATTTATCCTCGACTAATCAGAATATGTTTCATATGTCTGCTTCAGTGTTATCGAATTTTGGGAAATCAGGTTATGTGAGTGGTATTGTGTTTGTTTTGATGACACTCTTGAGACGTCCTTTCGTGCTAGGGGACGTTAAGCCTATGTAGCACCTTTGTTGAGATATCTCTTTTGCCACCGACGGTTTTGTACGGGTGGGTTTGTCTAATCGATCCCAGGTCGGCCACCGACGGTCGTGAACGGGTGTGTTTCGATTCCGAGACGATTATTCATTTGTTTTGTCCAAAATGTCATCCTTTGGTATTATGTGGGTGTTATTAACATCCAAGAAGCTTTTAAAAACCCTGATTGTCCGAAAGTATGTGAATTCAATACGCCTTGTGTAAATAACTGCTCAGTGCCATTACATTCTGTAATTAGGGCTTTGAGGACGTGTAAATTGTGTTTAACATGTGATTGATTGTTTTGATATCATCTTTGACATCATGGGGATTAATATACGAATTGCCTTCTGCTTTTGGCGACTATGAGATAGTGTGGAAAGACTCGAAAGAACAGGGAAGTGAATGTTGAACCGAATTGTAAACTGTAAACTGTTGAATGAATTGAGAACACGTGTATTCTGTTAGAAGTCGACTGCCTCGATGTTATTGTACTTTACAATTGGTACTATGGGGATATATGAGTTACGTATGTCGTGTGGTTGATTGCTTCGTTGTTATCTTTGTTGACTCAGGAATCAGTGTCTGGATCCGCTTTAAATTCCTGTAGACTTTTGATTGACCTTGGATAACTGTGATGAGTCATTGAACTAAATACCGAATTGGATTGTGAATTGCGGAGTTATTGAAGAATGAATTGAACTTTTGTGACAAGGGAATAGACCGAACTTCTATGGTAAAGTTAGCTGACATCTGAAATAAGTATGTGGTGACCTATTGTGAAAAAGAAAATTGTTGAATTTGTGTCTAAATATTTTCGGTACTAACAAGTCAAAGCCAAATAACAAATTTCATTGTGGGGCTGCCTTGGACACCCAGGGTATAAGTCCCATTTGGGTTATTGTATATAGGATTACTAAGTTTGCTCATTTCCTCCCTGTGAAATTTTCGTGGGATGCTTATAAACTAGCAACTGTTTACATCGGCAAGATTGCTCGTTTGCATGGGATCCTAGTATCTATTGTTTAGACAGGAATCCTAAAATCTGCCCGAATTTTGATAAGCCTTCAAGAGGCGATGGGGACTGAATTGTGATTCGATGCTGCTTGCCGTCCGAAAATCGATGTATAATTAGAAAGAACTTTTGGGAGAAATGCTCCAAATATATTCAGAAGATCTTTCAGGGAGTTTGGAAAGTCTATTCGTTGTTGGCAGACTCTGCTTACAACAACAACATGCACTCTGGTATCGGTGTGGCACCATGCAAAACCTTGTATAGCGGAAAAGGTAAGCCTCTGATTGATTAAGGACAGAATGTTGCTTGATTTTAAGACCGAGTAAATAACTATCTAAAGGATAACACTGGAACCGTTGAATAAGAGGTATTCCGAATTGTTTTCGACTAAAGGTAAAATAAGTTCGGAGGACCAAACTTCCTGAAGGGGAGAAGACTCTGATACCCTTGTTCCGTATTATGCTAATTTATCCTCCTTATGCATATGATTATGTGTTTGATATGATTTTGAGTGCCATTTATATGAATATATGTGGTTTTGAATTTTTATCTGTTCACCGTAGGAATATCTGTTTGATTATCTACTTCGGAATTTAAATTGAAGGCCTTATCGGCCTAGAACCTGAAATTGATTGCGCCATTGCGATTGGCATAATTTTTAGAGCCTATGGTGAAATATAATTGAAAATTAATTCAGATCAAAATAATTAGATTCAGAACGATTAATTAAATGCCAAATTATTTAATATTAATAAATTTGACTAGTGGGACTTACATAAAAGGGCACAATGCACTCAATTCCTCTCTTTTATCCATTTGGGCTGAGATTTCTCTACAGAGGGAGAAAAAGGGCCGATTCTAGAGAGAGGGGAGGAGGAGTTATGCATTTTTATTCAAGATTGTGAAATTGGAAGTTAAAACTCAAAGAACATTGAGTGTTTGAAGCTCCTAGGTGAGTAATCAATTCTTGATTTATGGATTGAGTATGTAATTTTGTGAAATCAAGTGGTATGGTAGCTCATGGCTAAGATTGAGTTGAATTTGAAGTTAAAATAAACATGCATGTACATAATTGTTACAATTTTGGGTGTTCTAGCATGTAGCATGTTAATATATGAAGAATGGGGCATCAAACCTTACATGCATGAGTAGTTTTGTGTAGCTTCATGATTTGGGGCATCATTTGTACCATTTGTAACAGAAATGAAGTTAAAATTTGACATGCGTGCATGATTGAAGAAGTTATGGAATTGGTATAAAGTTTGAATGTTTGGATTTTGATCATACGAAAGAAATGTCGATCTATTTGGGAATTAAATGATGACTTTGAACAATTTGGTGTCATACTTTTATACTCTCATGTAATGTAACGTGTTTGCATGTTTTTGAACTAAAATCATGTGTTTTGGAACCTTTGAATGTCAAATTTCGGCTCAAGAACATTGCTACCTAGAATTTTTGGTGTCCGCTCGAGCATGGAAACCGACGCTCGAGCGGGAAATGCGTGCTCCCAAAACTTTTGCAGACATGGTGTCTGCTCGAGTGGGGAAGTTCACGCTCGAGCGGGGAGCTATGTAGACAGACCTTCAGCTCGAGTGCCAGACTTCATGCTCGAGCGTAAATTCGGTGCATCCAGTACTTTTGCAGACCTCATGGGTCGCTCAAGCGGGGACCCTGTTTCCTGAAATTTTGAAAATGCATTCCGTGTTCCGTTCCCTTTCACTTCTAAGTACTCTTAGGCATACATTGAGCATTATAAATGAGTTAGAAGAATAAGAATTAAGCCTAAAGAGGAATATGTGAATTAAGAACGGATTGAATCGGTTGTGACCCATATGTGTTATGTGTGTGTAGGGTCAAGCTCCAAAGCAAATCAATCAGCCGATCACTGTGAGTAATATCTAACAAAGATATCTGAAATATGTTATTGTCCAATTGCTTACGTCCATGTAAGTTTTATAAGATTCGTTGATTCGATTGGTGGACAATGTTTACTATACCAAATGAATGGGCCGGAGGCCGTTTTAACATGAATGAATGGGCCAGAAGCCGTTTTGACAAGAATGAATGGATGGGCCAGAGGCTGTTTTGACAAGAATGAATGAATGGGCCAGAGGTCGTTTCGACATGAATAAATGAATGGGCCAAAGGCCAGTTTGACACGAATGATAGGTTGACACGAATAACAGTTTAACACGAATAATAGTTTGACACGAATAACAGTTTGTCATTTGAATGGGCCAGAGGCCAGTTTGACATGAAGAAAAGGATGGGCCGAAGGCCAGTTTGTCATTTGAATGGGCCAAAGGCCAGTTTGACAAAAACAAATGGGCTAGAGGCCAGTTCGACATGAATAAATGGGCCAAAGGCCAGTTCGACGTGAACGAAAGTACGAATGGGCCAAAGGCCAGTTTGACCTGAATAATACTAATGAATTAGGCTCGAGGCCGTATGATGTGTTTGGAACCGCGGTTACTTAACTTACATATGTCTATGTATGTATGTATTAGTTAGAAATATAAATTAGGCCCAAGGCCATTTAATGTATATTGTTCCAATGTATATTCTTTATTTGATATTATTCACTAGGCTTTTGCTCTTGCTCATTCATGTGTTTGTAGGTGAGCCAAGAGAGGTCCAAACCCAGCCTCAGTGAAGTCTGTATGGAACAACCAAAGTTTTGAGAAGTCAGCCCTGGCGTCTCACACACGAGACACGTCTTCGCCCTTTTGCCTTTCTGTGAATTTTGTCATGTTGGCGAGGACTTCGGTATACGTCTGTGTATAGTTTTGTTTGGCTAACTTAGATTTGAATGATCCTGTCTGTATAGAACCTTATGCTACTATACTTTCTGTTGTGAGTTATTAACATATGTAAATGTGGAATGTTATGATGTGCATATAAGCACGGCTCTATGGACAAAGTTTTAAATTTGCTTCCATTTGGCCCCTTTACTTTGATGAGTTTTGTCTTATTTGGTTTGAGGCCGTAGGTAATCTCGCAATTACTGGCCGGTTATGGCCTTAACCCATAGGGGCGGGTTCTGGTCGTGACAAATTATTAGAAATATCCTACCAACATTAATTATATGTAACACTCAAGTTTCACTTGTAATTAATTATTTACCTTGAAATGAGGATAATATTTGCGCTTGCTTCGAATATATGGATGCACACCATTTCTCGATTGAGGCCTTACCCAATCAATAAACATCATTGTAACAGCTTTTGACACCTTCTTGAAGTATCTTGAAATAGTCTCGCTGGAATGTTGAAATCTTTCTTGGACATTTCTGTTTCGAATGTCACCGCCAACAATATACAAAAATATTGCAACTTGCTCCTGAACCAAGACTTTTTGTCCAATTTCAAGGCCATACTTTGTCTGTAACAAATCACACAATTGATAAAATACCTCTCTTTCCATTCGAAAATTTTCAAATATTCCTGTCCAATTCCCTTCTTGTAATTCTATCATCCACTTCCCCCCTGTTAAACTAGATGTCCTATATGGTTCTTTTATCAATTAATTTGTCACATATGTCACTGCAACTGTTGCCGCCATAGCTAAGAGTATATTATTATGTTGTTGAGTTTGCAATGTGCTACCTTCATTTTTAGTATCTTCATCATGGTGATCATCATTCCATTCATTGTCGTCACTATTACTCATCTCCAAAATACCTACTCATTTAAAGGCTTAGTTACTATTACAAGAATGATCTTGTTTTCTTCTAATTAGATTTTAGTCTAAATTAAGCATTATAAATCTTCATGACTTCAAGAAAAATTAAGAAATATCAAATTTTTAAAGAATAAATTACACTTTTAATCTTATAATTTAACTCAAATTTCATTTTCAATTTTAATAATTTAGTCCATACAATTTTAGTCCAATTTTAAATAGGTTATTTCGTTCAAATTAAACACTAAACTTAATGCACTAATGAATCAGAAATGCTTTTGGCTCAAAATGTATAATGCACTAATGAATCCTCATATTCACCTCTGGCCAAAAATATTAGGGCCAGTTTCATATCGTTTCATTTCTATGAGAAAATAAAAAAAATTTGAAAATCTGATCTCACTTTGTTTTTTTTGATTTTTGGGTTCTCTTTATATCATCATTACGAGACTTCCTAAAATTTGACTTGTCAGGTAAATAAAAAATTATAATCATACTAAATAGTTAAGTAGAAAATTTGTCCAAATTTATATGCAAAGACATTTTTAAATTACTTGTCACTTGTACAAATTTTTCATATACTTTACTATTCGTAATTCAAGTACTATTTATAAAGAAAACACAACAAAGATTAGAACTATAGCGATCCCGGATTTTCCCCTTTATGTATAGTATTCGGGACTTGGGTTCCTTGGTTGAGTATTGTTGTATATGTCTCTCTCCGTCCTTTAATTATATGTATTTGAGTTTTAGGATGTGTTGGGCAGGTTTGTAACAGGTTGGGTGTGGTTTGAAACAAATGGTTGCTGCCCAAATTTTGGTATTTTCGCTCGAGCAAGGCTTTTGTTGCTCGAGCGAGCTTTGGGTTTTAGTCCCTTCGCTCAAGCCAGGGTTCCTTCGCTCGAGCGAGCTTGGTCTGGTGTGTCTCCTCGTTCGAGCGAGAGGTCCTTTGCTCGAGCGTGCATCGGCGTCTAGTTTAGACCTGAAGGTTGTGTTTCTTTGCTTGAGCGAGCTTTCCGTCGCTCAAGCAAGCGAGGACTATGTTTGGGTTTCTTCGCTCGAGCGAGCTTCTAGGTTGCAGACCTGAAGCTTCGTGTTGTTCGCTCGAGCGAGGCTTTCTACGCTCGAGTGAGGTTTCTTTGTGTCTGGTCGCTCGAGCGACCACTCATTCGCTCGAGCAAGCCTCGCATATATCAGATCGCAGCAGCAGTTCTACACTTCACTTTTAATCCTCTTTTCATCTCAAACCCTAGATCCGGCTGCCTCTCTCTCTACATACACCTTCCCTCTGGAAATACACTTGATTCTCGGGTGTCTCTACCCTATTCTCTTTGAAGAAAAGGTAGAGCTTCGCGTGGGCTACGTCTTGATCCAAAAAAGATTGGTTTTAGAGCATCTTGAGTTTTCTTCTTTTTTCTCCTTTGAGCTCCGAAATTTGAGGTAGGAATAACCTACTCCTTTCTATGAGTTTTAACATAAATGTTGGGTATTTTGTATAGATGGTGTTGTTTGGGAGTTTTGGGAAAGTTAGGGTTGTTTTGAAGTTGTAAAAAAAAGGGTTTTCTATTGTTAAGCTACATGTGTATGTGAGACCTTGGAAAATGGGGTTATTGGTATAGGATTAATGAAATTGAACCTTAGGGTTGATGTTTAAAAAGAGGGGGAAAATGCCGTAATAATGTTTAAATAATTAATTTGGGAAGATATGGAATTGAGTTGAAAATCATGAAATTGGGAAATTATGAGATTGAATGGTGTAGTTGGATTAATTAATTACTCATCTATGGAATTGTTGATAATTTATCTATTGATAAATTTATTATCTGTTTAGAAATAATTGTTTTGGGCTATCGGTGGAGGATAGTCTCGATTGTTGTAGACACTGTATGTTGATTAGGGAAAACTGAAACTAATCAATTGGGTTATGTCATCGAATAAGACGATTGAATTAACACATTGAATATGTGCCTAGATTGATCATTGTATATGGTAAAACGTTTAAATACATTGCATATTTATCTTGTTTGGAAGGAGATAGGGGATGTATTCCATGGTTTGGGAGGAGATAGGGGATGTACTCTCAAACCAGTTTGGAAGGAGATAAGGGATGGACTCCAATGATAACTAAGTTGGCCAGAGTGTCCAGGGTGAAAGTCCTAAAATCTTAATTACGTTTGCATAATGTAGATGAATTGAAGTATTGAAACGTTAATAATATGAGTTATAGTCTCATTGGAAATGGAAGTATTGAAGTGCTAGTAATATGAGTTGTAGTCTCATTTTGCATTGATTATGATTGATATGCGAATAGTATGGGTTGTGATCTCATTTTGAACTGTTTGGATAAATAACGAGCCATATCTATGAATTAGATTGGTTAATGAAACGAAAAAGGATTGAAACACGGTTGCGACTATGGGTTGGTTATGGAAGGGATGCACGTTGATTTATATGAGTTAAACATTTATCAAATGCTAATGTTTTAGTTAATTCTCATGTTATGTTTAGCGTATCTCTACTAGGCTCTAGCTCACCCTATATGGGACATCATTTTTAAGTACAGGTGATATGCCGCCTCCAAGGATGCAGCTTGGGATGTTTTAGAAGCTGAAGGCTTACTTTTGTAGTTATCTTTGTATTACATGTAATTCAAACCAACGGCTTAATTTGTTAAGAGTTAGAACTCTCTTTTGTTGTAACCAAGTGTTGACTTGGAAAGTTGTAAGCCCATGGGGGCATTTACTTTTGTTGTCGACATGTAATACTGTTGTGAAGAATACTTTGATAAGTGAATATATGTTCTTTTTCCCATGTCTATAAATATCATAAATGAATGGTTTATGTACGTACTTTTTTTAGGGCGTTACAAGAACCAACCGGAATTGGGTTGCCCATAGATTTTTTTTTTTTTTGGTAACATATAATTTAGAACCAACAACAACATGCAAATTTAACTTCTTAAAATTATACCTTCAAAGAACACAGCAATACAACAGCAACAGATTGAAATTCAAACCAGCAACAAATGCAAATTCAACACAGCAACATTAACAGATGGAAATTCAACACAGCAACATTATGGAAATTCAGCACAAAAAATAAATACAGCACAACAAACAGAAGGAAATTCAACATTTCTTACAATAACACCAGTTGGAGAACATCTACATATATATAAAAGTCTTCACCATTTACCTACCATTCGTATTCAAGATTGAAATCAACCATTCAACCAACATTCGACCATTCAACTAACATTTAACCAGTCAACCATTCAACTGAGAAAATGCCATCTACCCACCAACCATTCAACCATTCAACTAACAAAGTCTAACAAAATATTAATAAAAGAAAAAAATAATGAGTCCAACACAACAGTCCACAATTAATAATAAAAGTCTTAATAAAGGTCCTAAACATGAAATAATTAGGAAATTCATAAACATCCAACTTCAGAAACAATTAGCTGTGATAACCTGTGGTGGTCTTCTCCATCTCAATCTCCAACTTCAAAAACCTCAGCCGAACTTCATCCATAGGAAGAGTCATGAAGCACTCACGACGTTTGTCTCGTAAGAACAATCTAGTAGCCCATACATATAGCTCATCATCTAGGGACACACTAGGGATGCTTTCCAACTTTGCCAAATTTTCTGCAATTGAAGGATATCTTGATGAGGTATGTGTTGAAGTTGCTGAAGATGACTCAACCATATTGACTATATGATCAAATGTCTTGTTAAGTAGAGCTGCACCAGTAAATTTCTTCTTTGTCTTGCACTTGGTTGATGAACCATCAGTGTTTGATGAACGTTTTTTGTTTAACTCGGAAGGATGAACCACCTCCAAATTAGCATCATCATGAAATTCAGCATCATGTGGGGTATGAAATTCCTCTAGAGTCTCATCAGCGTGAGACATAACCCCTGAGCTAGGAGTGTATGCCCATTCTCCTGTAGTCGTTGCATCTGAGAATAGTATGTCTAAGTCTTCAGTAAATTGCAACGGCATACGTTGGAATTTAGCAACATCAGGATACCTCCGCAACAATTACAAAGGAAAATTTAACAATTTCAAGTAACAAAATTTTGTCTGTTTAAACAAAAAACAAACAGAATATGTACATTCAAC